CACGCACGCGCACGCACACATTGAGTTTAATGTGAGGCTAGTACAGAAACAGAGAGATTAAACACAAAGAAATGTAAACAGCTCTCACATGCAAGGAAACTAGGTTACGAGAATCCCGGCACCAGGCATTCACCAGTCACCATGGAAAACAGGAAGTGAGATGCATAGCAACCACAAGCCAAAAAGCAGAAAAGCGCATACCTTTAGCTTGGAATGAAAATCACGAGATTTCCTTCTGGCAAGAACCTGAATGTGACTAGACACCTGCAGGGTAGGGGAAGGGAGGAAAACAAAGGAAAAGCCTGTAACCATGGAGATGAAAAGCCCCCTACAAGTGGGCAAGCCAGACGTACCTTAATGGCGGCTTGAATTTCTCGAACTTTCTTTCTTGCTAAGACCTGTATATGACTAGACACCTACATTGTTCGGGTTTATGAGGGGAAACAAAACAAAACAAAACAAAACAAAAAAAGGAAATCAAATATAAAATCTCTACTCCTTGGGAGGGTTTTGGGGTGGGGTGGGGGTGGTTATTTGCATCTCAACAAAGCTCTGCAGTTAGGAATACACAGTCCCAGCCAGACACAAGCCCCCAGCGCTGCTCTAAGCTTTTCATACTGGGTCATCACTGCAGTGACTTGATTCAGGGTGAAAGTTAAGACTCATCTTAGTTTTCCCACCCAAGAGGAATCATGGGCACTGGGAAAAACTAATTTTGGGAGGGATGAGAGGGGCTGTTTTCATTCTAAAATTAAAAAGGTGGGGGTAAAGGTAAATGAAAATATTTATAGCTTCTCAGTATCAGGAGGGAAAATCCCTTTTTCTCAATTTAGAAGGAGACTATCCATAAATTAGCACATTCTGTAGAATCAAAAAGCTGAAGCTGTCAGTTGTATTCTGATCTCATTAAGAGCTCTGGATTCTGTAGCAAATGTTAAAATAATACTGACATGTAAATTAGATCTCAAAGAGAAATGGAAAGACCCAGTTAGCAGAGCTTTTTTTTTTTTTTTTTTTTTTTTTTTTGCCCTTATAAATATCTTTAATCCTTCCACTCTTTTGGGTATTGACTGGGCGCCAAGTGGATTTGCATATTATTACAAAGCGAAATGTGTGAATACAGCCAGCCAGCCATCCTGTTAAAAATCTGGGTTGAAAACCACACGGATTTGCTGAACAACAAATTCACATTGGAGAGGTATCACCAACTGCTGCCTAAAACCATCCCCAGGATGCCGGGGTGTGGAAACATAGCCAAGCCCAGCTTCTGAAACACAATGATTCCACTGAAATTTGCATCTCTTTCAGTGGGACTTGGTTAAATTTAGAAGAGTCCCCCAGTGAAGGGGTCACCGGGCAAATGACCAGAGCTCACAGACCAGCAGACAGCCCAGGTCCCACACTGTCAGTATGCACAAGATTAGATCTGCCCGTTTCCGAAATTTAGAACCTTCCATTTAAAAGTTCAGCGACTCAGACTCTGACTGCGTGGTGATTACCCCATTTCCAATTCTCCAGCGGCTCTAAAACAGGATTTATGATAATAAACAGTGCTTTTATCTTTAACTTTGTCTTTGAGCTTCAATTATTCAATTATTTTTTTTTCCAATTTGCTTTGGTACTTTTCTTTTTTTAAGTACAGAGAAGCAGAAACTCCCCCATCCTCTTCACCCCTCCATCTGGCTCCTGCTGTTACTTGTTTTCAACCGAATTTTGTTCTTCTGTGATTCTTTGACTTGATGAGGGCCACTGTCGGGGGGGAGCATCCCCCAAACAGACAATGCGCTGCCTCTGCACGCTGGCAGGAGGCCACTTCTCTTTGTGCTGACTCAGCAGCCAGGCTCCCAGGCTGTGGCACAAGTAGCATTCCTGGGGAAAAGCCTCTCCCTGTTATAAACACTCATGAAGACAATTCCTCACTGGGAAAAGAACTAAAATCTGCTGCTCAATCTTAATGAGACCACAGTTTAGCTCGCCTTTTGGTCTGATTAGTTTTTTAAGATTCATGCCTATCATTCAGCATAAATCAACATTAAAAAATAATTCTTCTCTGTTAACAACTCACCCATGAGGTTTTTGGGTTTTTTTTTCCCCCCTCCTTTCTTTTTCTGTTTTTAGTTAAACACTAATTTCTCATCCGTTCCAGTTCTGAGCTGGCTCAGGTCAGAGATTTGGGCTGTTTTACATCTGAAAGGAGGGAAGGCAGAGCCCTGACAAAGGGCAGAGAATTCCTGATACTGTTCTGCACAGAGGTATTGAAGTTGTAACTTCATTTCAGTTACAGCAGCTACTGACAAAAAGCCATCACTTAAGAAGCAACAGTTCCCTGGACGCACATCATTTAGCATTACATTCAGGCCAATACTCAAGGCTGCTAGTGCTACTTTTTCATTGAAATGATGACTAATATATAATCGTTCCAGGATTTGACAGTGCACAAAATCTCAAAAATTCATGACCTGCAAGTGCATTTGCACCTGCAGATTTTGCAATGTTCACAGGTGCACATTTTGGGAAAGAAATATCAGCTTTGAAATACAGCACAGGAGCGGTTCATATACCGTCCTTAGCAGTGACACTTCCCAAATGAGTATGAAAGAATCTTGCAAGACCACATAATAAAGGGTCACTGAAATGATGAACAGTGAAAACTGAGCCAATTTAAAATACCTCCAACATTGACGTCCTTACAGGGAACTCAAATTGGGGGCTCCTAGGAGCCAAAGCATAGCCAGCCACTGCAGCCAAAATGCCTTTTTGGGGCCATTCGCTGACATGCACGATTTCCAGGTGGGTTATTTTACCTGTTTTCTGGTCCTCGTCTTGCCTGTCCTGAGTTTGATGTATCTGGCTATCAATTCATTCCTACCTGAAAGAAAGAAGAATTTACCATGAGGTGGGTTACCAAAAAACCAAACCAACAAAGCCACTGAAAGCAAGAAACAGAATTCAGAATCAAGAATTTTAAAACTGCAACTATGCATTTACTAATGCTAGAAAAATAAAACAGCACAATTGTCTGCAAAAATGTTTACTAGGAAAAATTAAGATGAAAGGTATTTAATTTTGAACTTAGACCAGCATCTGAGAATAGAAATTTATCTTTTTGAAATGTGCCTTTTTGTTTGTTTGTATACTTGTACCTAAGTGGGTGGTGGGTCACTCACATAAGCAACAAATACTAGCAAGGATTAGTCTGGAAATAAACTGAGTTATGTTCTAGTCTTTGATTTTTCATGTTCAGATTCATATTCATTTCCCTTCTCATTCAAGTTTCTTCTCAGAATTAACTCCAGCTAGAATCACAGCCACAAGAAGATGAACGAGCTGGTGTGGCCACAGAAGCCCTACAATGACAAGCTAACGGTATGAAAGTAGACACCCCCTAAAGGTAGTCAGTGAAAAAGATGACACAGTCTCCTCCAAGTTATATAACCTTCTGGGGAAAGAACAATGCCTAAAAGTATAAACAAAAGACTTCCATCCCTACCCATCAGGAAAATGAGAAGTCTCAGATAACCTGACTTCCGAACACTATAATATAACAGGAAAATATATCCCCAGAAGCTAAGCAGAGAAATGTATTACTAAGATACTACGTGGGGAAAAACCACTCATACAAGACATAGGTTCTTCTGAGCAGGTCGTATTTATGACTTCAACTTGCTCTAATACCAGGAACTGAAATTATTTCTACATACTCTATACAGTAAATGGAAAACCACCATTTCATAGCACTACTGTTGTCTGGCTTTGTATCAGCCCAGCTCCATCCTTGTGAAAATCTCCTTTGGTCAAGAACAAGCCTGAAGCCCCCTGTTGTGAAATTCACTCATGTGCTTCACCAGCCTGAGACGGTTGTGCTAGATTCTACTTTTCCTTCAACGCCCCACTTGGATGTCACTCTCTTGGGGAAGTCTTCTCTAATCGCACGACTAGGTTTGGTTGCCTTGCTCTATACCCCCATGGCAGCACAAACTGCACTTCTCCTTCCTAGGATGTACCCAAATTGTAACTGTATTTATAATGGTATAGATAGTTGTAAAATTTGTGTTAGCTGTCTTACTTCTTCCCAGATATACAGCATAGTTGAAGAGGGGGAGAACTCTGTCTTCTTCCTCAGTGTCCCCCACAGCACCTGGCACCTTGCTGGGCACAGAAAATAGGAATGAATAAAGAAATAACACAGCCTCTGTTGAAAGGGAGTGACCATATCCCCCAGATCTTCCCTGGCAGAGTAAAGAACTAGAAATACTGATGAAGACCAACATCAAAATGTCCTTAGGGAAATCTTGTCTGAGAATTCCAAAGACTCTCTCATCACTACCTAGAATGTCCTATAGTCATGGCTCTGTCCACCACCTGCCAGTTGGGACTATGCAGGACGTGGTCATCACTGGAAGGCAAAGGAATCACAAAATCTTGGGGCTGGAAAAGTACTCCTAGGTCATCCATTTCCATTCTTGAAAGTCTAAGTCTTCAGAAGCCTAAGTCAGCACTTCTAAAATTGAGGAAGTAGCCCATTCTATCTTAGAACATATTTATGATAAAAAGACCCTCCTTTTGGGGGTCTGCTTTAACTTTCACCTCCAGATCCTTCCTGTTCCTCTTAACAAGAAGTCCCATCCCTTATTTATATAACTGCCTTTCAGATTATTAATGGCAGCTCTCAGGTCCTCTTGGAGTTGAACACAAGCTAATCCTCCCATGTTCCTTTGTTATCTGACAAGCTTTGGAACACTCCCACACACCATCCTGTGACCATTCTTTGTCTTCCTTTCAGAGCTCACAGTCCAGAACTGTGGCAGTGCTCCTGCTATACAGCTTCAGAGTGGGTTTATTATCTCTTTCATGCTAAATACTCCACCTCTGTTAATGAAGCCAAACACTGCATTAAATTATTAAGGAGTACAATAAATTATTATATGCGCCAACTTAAACTCCTAGGTCTTTTTCATATGGGCTCCTCTTCACATATGTCCCTCCCCGTTTCTTTTTAATGCATAGCTGAGGTTTTCAGATCCCAAAACAGAGCCTTAACATTTATTTCTACTCCACTTAATCCCCTTAAATTCAGTCTATCATTCCAGTCTGCAAGATCTTCCCAGATCCTGATTCTGTGACTGAACCCTTTTACCACCACAAAAGGATCTCTAAATTCAATTCTGAGTACTGCTTTTCTAAGCATTCTCTTTCAAACTTTTGAGAACTACCAATATCCCCTGTAGTGTCATTGGATCTACTTCTCCATTTCTCAGATGGTTGTACAGATTTTGCAATTTGTCTCGAAAACTCACTGACAGCAGAGCCCAGCTAGAAGTACCTAATTACCAGAAGCCAGACCGAAATGACAATGTCTGCAGACAAGCCAAGCATCCTCCAGCCTGGGGCCTCACTGTGCATCCTGTTCGGCGCTATTTGAGTGGCCAAGGCGAAATAGATCCAGGGCTCTGTATTACATACAATTTCATCCCAACCTCGTCCAGACGGCAAAAATGTCTCCTACCCTCAAACTCACTTATTTTCCAGGAAAACAGACAGAACAGCTTGATAGGTGTGACACATAACCTATAGAACTAATTTTCAATTTCTTGTGGCACTTGAATGAATAAATTCAATATCCAAGACAGCCCTATTTGACTGTGTACTATAGACTATACAAATGGCACCCCTTGGAGTTAAACAGTGTCAACTCATACTTTGACTGAAGTAAAATCATGTACTACATAATGACATTTTGGTCAACAATGAGCTGCATACACGATGGTGGTCCCATCAAATTATAATGACATGATTTTACTCTATCTTTTCAATGTTTAGATTATGTTTAGATATTCAAATACTTACCATTGTGTTGCAGTGGCCTATAGTATTCAGTACAGTCACACACCGCACAGGTTTGCACAGCCTAGGTGTGTAGTAGGCTGTTCTATCTAGGTTTGCGTAAGTACACTTGATGATTTTCTAACAATGACTAAAACTGCCTGATGATGTATTTCTCAGAACGTATCCTGTTGTTCAGTGATGCATGAGGATACTTCTAACATTACTTCAACAGTTCCTTACTGGGTACTGTGGGCTGGGCACTACACTGCAGTCATTATTTCATTGAAAGTTCATCTTAACTCTCAAGCCCTTGCTTTTCAGATGAGCAAGATCACCTTTCAAAAACCCACGTTCTTTGTTTCATCTATGTTTGAAGCCATGAATAGTAATTATTTCTTTTAACTATTAGAACTACCTGCTTTAAATTATAAAATCTTCCCTAAAACAACTCTTAGAAACCTAATAAATTCTCTTAAATGCACTGATACTACATATAAAAATAGTACAATTTCAACTTTCCCCAGATCGAATGATTAAATCACCTACTTCATTGTACATTTTAATTTGGAAATACAGGCTGGTCTGTTACCTAGGCCAAATTATTTTTTAATTACTTGAAATATCAAATACATAAATCCTTTAAATAAAAAACTAACCGTATGGTTTTGATTCTATTAAAATTTTCTACGTTTAATTCTAAATCTTCACAAAATTAAAATATACTTGCCTGTTTAAAGAAGCATGGCATTCCAAACAATTTTGGGCTATTTGGGATTGTATATATATGGGTGATATCAACTAGGTTCTGAGGTGAGTCTTGTCAGTGGCCCTGATAGGACATCCTAGTCCCTATCTATATTTCCTTTTTTGTTTAATTTTTTTCAGACAGGATCTCACTTTATCACCCAGGCTGGAGTGCAGTGATAAAATCAAGGCTCACTGCAGCCTCAATCTCTCAGATTCAAGCAATCTTCCTGCCTTGGGCCCCCAAGTAGTGTGGGACTGTGGTAGCACACGGGACTACAGGCTTGCTCCACTACATAAGACTGATTTTTGTATTTATTTATTTTTTTAGTATAAACCAGATTTCATGTTGCCCAGACTGGTCTCAAATTCTGAGCCCAATAATCCGCCCACCTTGGCCTCCTAAAGTGCTGAAATTACAGGCATGAGCCATTGTGCTGGCCCCTATGTATATTTCTACAGCTCTGCCCTCCAAGGGGGTGAGTTCACAGATTCCACAGCCCTGGATATGAAACATGTTACTAAGATGCAGCATTTCCTAAGGGCCAGAAGACAAGCAGCACCATCACTGATGTAATTGAAAATGGGTCTCCAAGCTACACAGCACAGTACAGTTTTGCAGCCATGATCTTCACACACACACACACACACACACACACACACACACACACACACACCAGATTCAGTAAACCTGATGTTATAAAAATGACTTTCAATAAAGTTAGCTTTAATTTAATTACTATTTTCCTAAACCAATCCTGCAGTCACCTACGGACTGTCTTCCTTTGTGCCTTGCACCATGCCTGTCTGGTGAGTCAGAAATATAAAGCTTCTCTGCAACATAAAAATTCCTTTAGAAATGTACAACATGTCACCTCTCTAAGCCTCAGATGCTATAGCTGCAGCTGCCCTTGTTTTTCCCACCAGTCGCACATAAGCAGCAAAGAGAAACACAGCCTGACCTGTCACTTTTACACTGTGATCCGTGCCAGGCACTGTGATCTAGTTTTTATTTCATTTTATTTTTTCTTTTTCCTAAATAATTTAACAGAGTTCAAAGTGAGTCCATCACTGGCTTCTCTTGCATCTTGGATTGCCATGGAATTTCCTGATTAAGGGGCAATACAGAGAAAGATCCCAGCAGAAAGGCATGGAGTTTGCACTGTGCTTGTCTTACCAGATAGAAGACTGGTTAACATTGCTGTGGGCTGTATGTATAATGGGATGTGGCCTCAAGGTCATGTTTGAGGCACAGCAAATGCAAGGTCTGTGGCTAGAAATTGTAGCCCAGAGACAGTG